GGGTCGCAGCTGCCTCTGGAAGGCACCGAGATGTACCTTTTTCGCGCAATGGTCAAAATCAAGGTTTTGTAACGCGAGCTGTGCCACAGTGAAATGGAACTAGCCTAAGGTAAATTTCTCCAGCTCCACACACACAAAGTGGTGGGGCAAGGGGGGGGCGACCCTCGCATCTCCCACACCCGGCTCACCCGGACACGGGCAGGCGAGGAGCCCCACGGCATTCAAAGTGCAATATGGCCCGCCCGGTGTGCACGTGGCTCGTGGGGGAGCAGACGCGCAGGGCGAGACGAGGGAGTCGCCGTTGGCGTCGAGCACGGGCGAGCCGCTGTTGCCTCCGACCGTGTCGGTCGAGTAGCACACGCAGCACGGCGTCGCCGCCACGGCCGTGTCTCGGCGCAGAGGTCCACCAGCCGCTGCGGGCAGTCGAAGTCTCCGCCCTCGCCCTTGACCAGGTCGGCAACCGCCTCGCCCGCGCCGCTGAGCTTGGCCTCAAGGTGCTTGTCCACCAGCCAAGAACGCAGCAGTGCTTGATTGATTGATTGCCCTGCGCTGACGCTGTGCGCTTGCAAAGAAAAGAATTTAAACAAGACAACTCTCTCTCTCTCACAGCACACAGGCTCGACACAAAGAAAAGAAAAGGCAGCGCGGACCGAAACCGCGCGGCTCACCATGCATTTCCCCGACGAGTGGGGCCCAGGCGGCGGCGACAGCGGTCCGACCGAGTCAAAGCTGATCCCGCTCTTGATGCAGAGCAACGAGGCGCTCCTCATCAAGACGCTGCTGGCGCGGAGCTGCCCGAGCGCAAGGCTGAGCCGCGTGCAGCGCGTGCAGAACAAGATGTTGTGGCGTGCGTACACCCACTATCGCGACGAAGAGCTCATCCACACTTGCGCCGGCGACGTCAACGAGATGCTCCTCTTCCACGGCACCGCGGAGCGGGCGGCGGAGGATGTGCTCGCACACCAGAACGGGCTCGACCCTCGCTTCTCCAATGGCGGCTTCTATGGCCCAGGCATCTACCTGGCGGAGGACCCGTCGTACCCGATCGGCGGCCGGTACGCGCACCGCATCTACGGCTCGGGTGGCCGCCGCGTGCAGCTGCTCATCGTGAAGGCCGCCCTCGGCTCGCAGCAGGAGATGGGGCAGCGCATCAGCGCGGAGACGAGGGCGATGCGCATGCCCGGCGTGCGCGTCGAGGGCCCGCCCCGACTCCTCTACAACAGCGTGCGCGGCGGGCCGCACCGCCCCTTCCTCTCCGGCGGAGGCGAGAGCGGGTGCGACGCATCCATCGTGCACGTGGCGTACGAGTCGCGCCAGATGTACCCGGCGTACGTGATCGAGGTCGAGATTGAGATGGGGGCCGAGGTGGTGGCGGCCGTGCAGAACAACTCGACCGAGGGGAGCGCGAGCGCCGGCCCCGCATCCAAGCAGCAGCGCACCGCTGCGTCGAGCTCGGCCCTTCCATCAGGAGGAGGAGGCGGCGGCGCGCCGCTGCTCGGCCAGCGCGTCGTGCTCGGCGGGCTCTCTGCCCGCCCCGAGCTGAACGGGCAGCGGGGCGTGGCTCAGAGCTTCGAGGGCGGGCGGTACGGGGTGGTGCTCGAGGGCGGCGAGAGCGTGCGGGTGCGGCCGGGTAATCTGTCGCCAGCGGTGTCGAGGGGTGGCGTGCCAGTCTCCGATGAGGTCATCGTGGCGGCTGAGCGAGGCGAGGAGGAGGCGGTGCTGGCGTGGCTTGACAGTGGCGGGCGGGTCGACGCGACGTACGAGAGAGGCGGCGTGCGCGGCATCACGCTGCTGATGGGCGCCGCCCGTCACGGCCACGAGCGGGTGGTCGATTTGCTGATACGGCGCGGCGCTGAGATCAACCTGCAGAGCAGCAACGGCGAAACCGCGCTGTTGTACGCCGCCCGCCACGGCCACGAGCGGGTGGTCGATTTGCTGCTGCAGCACGGCGCGGAGATCAATCTGCAGAGCAGCAAAGGCGTCACCGCGCTGATGACTGCTGCCAATTGCGGCCACGAGCGGGTGGTCGAGCTGCTGCTCCGGCACGGCGCGGAGATCAACCTGCAGGACAGCATCGGCATCACCGCGCTGATAAGCGCCGCCAGCAACGGCCACGAGCGGGTGGTCGAGCTGCTGATACGGCGCGGCGCTGAGATCAACCTGCAGAGCAGCAACGGCGAAACCGCGCTGTTGTACGCCGCCGGCAACGGCCACGAGCGGGTGGTCGACCTGCTGCTGGCACGGCGTTGAGATCAACCTGCAGAGCAGCAACGGCTTCACCGCGCTGATGGCCGCCGCCGACCAAGGCCACCCCGCCGTCGTGCGGCGCTTGCTGCGGGCGGGCGCAAACGCGGCGGTGAGCACCACGAGCGGCGAGACGGCGCCGCAGCTGGCCAAGGCGAAGGGCCACGCCGAGTGCGTCGAGGCCTTCAAGAAGCACGTCCAGGAGGTGTTGGCGGGACGGCGGTGTCAGGCAGTGGCGGCGGCGGTGTCAGGCAGTGTCGGCAGCGGTGGCGGCGGCGGCGGCGGCGGCGGCTCTACTAGTAGCAGTGCCGCCGGCACCCATTCTGCGGCTCAGGTCCTCGCCGGCGCCGGCAGTGGCGGCGGCGGCTGCAGCCATTCTGCGGCTCACGTGCCCCAGGCGCACTCGCGCGTGGTGCCCCTCGCCATTCAAGGCGGAGGCGCCATGCTCGACGAGGGGTGCATCGAGCTCATGCACAGCGGGCATACCAGCCAGACCGGGTACTACATAGTGCAGATCATCGACCTCAAGCCGATCAAGAATCCGCAGAGCGGCGCGGCAGATCGCTACCGTCTCGTCATCTCGGACGGCCGCCACTACATGCATGTACGCGCCATGAGCGTTGCACCGCGCCAGCGCTGCACGCGCCGCCGCTAATTGACCATGCCGCAACTCGCCCCCGGCGCAGGCGATGCTCTCCACGTCGCTGAACCCGATGATTCAGCGAGATGGGGTGAGCCCTGAACGCGCCGGGAGCGTCCCGTCAGCACATGAACACCATCCCCACCCCCTGTCTCTCGCTGCCAACAGATCCGCGCGCTGAGCATCGTTCGCCTCGACAACCACATCATGAACAACGTGCAGAACCGCAAGGTGCGCCCCTCCGCGCGCGTGCCGCCACCGCCCCAACCACCCACCCGGCCCTCTCGTCCCTCCAGGTCATCATCATCCTGAAGTTCGCGCTCATCTCAAACGACCAGCCGCAGATCGGCCACCCGCAACAGTGCCTGCCGTAAGAACAGATATGTGGGCCCGCGATCGAGGTGGTGTGTTGTGTCCAAACTAGGGGGAAAAGAATTTGCGTTTTGACGCGACGCCAGCAGGGGCCAGGGGCGCAGGGGGTGCAGGGCGACGCTGCACGCAGCACGCACCCCGTGGGATGAACACACTCACACTGCCTCTCGCGCCACGAGTGACTGTGAGTGACGGAGTGAGCTGTGAGGAGTGCGAGTTATCACAATAACACAGTGAGGGAGAAAGTACAACCAGAGTGGCAGAGAAACCCATCGGTGGCGTGGGAGGCGGTGCGTTGCTGCACTCGGTGGTGCTGCGCGGTGGCGAGCGTGAGCGGCGCGCATCTTTTTTCTTTTTTGCCGTAGAACTTCTTTTCGAACCTGTGAGCTGTGTGTTGCGAGACGTTCGGCGGCGGCTTCTCGACCACCGCCGTTCTCAAGCTGCGCCGCCTCGCGCGCAAAGCCGCGCGCGGCAGCGTCGACCGCACGGCCTACTCGCCCAAGTACTCGCTTTCTTTTATGTCCCACCATGCAGAGCGCATCTCTCTCTCTGTTGTGCGAGGCGTGAACCGCGCCATTCGCTCTCACCTGGCAACCCTGTCTGCACGTCTCGCGCGCGCGTGAACAGGGCTCCAGGCCCCAAATGACATGTGAGTGTTAGAGTTGTGAGAGGGAGTTGTTTTCGTTGAACTCTTTTTTAGGCAACACCAGCACGCTAGCTTCCTGACTCCTGGCTAAAGCTAAGTGTGTGATTTTGGATTTTAGTGGTGTTTTGCACAACAACTTCTCAGCGAGGATCGGGTGCTGGCCCTTAAACGTTAAAGCCGCGGTAGCACTAGCAGCTAAAGCCGTCACACGGGCGACCGGCGCGGACCGCCAGCGCCACACGGCACACCGCCACACGGGGGCGACCTCGCGGTCGTCATTCGTCAACGCATGAGGGAGGACAAGATGCAACAACGGCCGACGCGAACGACCCCTCGACGTCGCGACGCGGCGGGCCGGCGTAGGGGCGAGCTTATGGTGTACTGGTTAGTTGAGTCATGATTGTGTCTGTTGGTATGCTGCCTCATCGAGGATGTTCATGAACATCTGAACGACGCTAGTCCCTCACGTAGGACGTTCGCCGTTAGCCACATTCGGAGGTCAGATCCGTGGCCGCACGTCCACAACCTCGTATGTGAATCCCCCGAGGACTACGGTCTCGACGTCGCCGGTCGGCTGCAGGAAGGTCAAGGGCGGAAATAGGAACTCAGTCTCGCCGGGGAAGGCGGATGTCGGGGCCACGCTCGTAGAATGACTCAGTGATGAGCCGCAGCAGCACCGCCCTGACGCTCGCCGAGTACTTCATCGCGACACTGAGGTCGGATGTCGTGCTCATGGGCGCCAGTTCGGTGCCTCCCAGCGCCATAAAGTCGGCCGGCGCCGTGACATCCTTCATGCCCCGGTACAGCTCGAGGCGGCGCATCGCAGACTCTCGCGACTTGTCTGCCTCCACCGCTCGCAGCTTGCCAAGCGCATCACGGATCAGCGCGACGGTGACTGGTAGTGCGTGCGGCTCGCCGCGCTCAACGCGCGCCCTGTGCGTGTGTAGACTGCGAGAGAGAGAGAGAGAGAGAGAGAGAGAGAGAGAGAGAGAGAGAGAGAGAGAGAGAGAGAGAGAGAGAGAGAGAGAGAGAGAGAGAGAGAGAGAGAGAGAGAGAGAGAGAGAGAGAGAGAGAGAGAGAGAGAGAGAGAGAGAGAGAGATTTAGCAATACCAAACAACTCTAACACTCTAGACTGCGTCGGGTGCGTGTGCATACATGTTTTATGTGCCACGCGGTGCGGATATATCGGGCTCGATTGGACGGAGGAGGCCAGGACGCGTCGGGGGGGGGGGGGGGGGGGGCTGGGCCGCTTCTCACTCGCAGAGGTACGCAGCCGCCTCGCTTCGCCAGTGTTGTCTACGCCGGCGACACGCGTGTCGGCTCGCCGCCCGCGTCGCCCGCGGCGGGCCCGCTCTGGGAATACCTGGGTTGAGCGCCGTTTTGAGAGACCGATTTCGCCCTCGACCCGGTCGCCGCCGATGGCTCGCGTTGTGCGGGTCCAGCGCCGCGGCCAGCCAGCGACACCCTCGCCGGCGGCCGGGCGGGTGCGGACGCGAGCTGAGTGCGAGGTATCGCCGCTGTTTGAGCTCACCTCTGCCGACGGCGGTGCGCCGAGAGAGCCGCGCCCGGCTGACGCCGCGAGTCGGCCAGTAGTTTGCGAAGATAACATTCGACAATGGCGACGAGACTTGGAATTTGGCCGCTCTACTACCTTTACTCAGCACCTGTGCGCTCACAATACCCGCCCCGACGCGCCCTTCCTCGTAGGTGAGGCTGAGCCGGACGCAGCGCCGCTCGCGCTGCGCGCGCCAAGGATACAGCGGCCTCGGCCGCGAGGGAGGCGCCAGTCGGGCGCGTCGGCCGTGCCACTGCGCAATGTGCTGCCGCGCACTTACGACGCCGTCAACGAGCTCCTCTTCGCGCTCTCAGAGCGCCATCCGCTCTCCATCCGGTGCGGGCTGGCCGCACACTTCTCTCCTCCCTCCTCTCTCCTCGCTACCCTCCCCTCGCCCAGGCTCGCCTCATGAGTGGCCGCGGTTGTCGCCGGTGCTCGCCCGCGACGCGTCGCTCCGTCCCACGTCGCAGGCCAGGCAAACAGGACTGGCTCGTCGACGGGAGTGCCAACGTGCGGATACCACACACAGGGCTTTCGACTCGTGATGCCTATCGTGTGCTGCTAGAGGAATGGGGAGCGCGCCAGCGGGGCTCGCTTTTTTCTAGGAGCAACAACATCGCCATTCGATTGCTATATTTTTCAAGCCCCCTGTACGAGAACCGTGCCGACCTGGAGCCACTTGCCGCGCGTGCCCCGCCCGGTGACACAAGTGCTCCATTCTCAGCTGTGGGCGCGGCCGTGTGCGCGCGCGTGGAGGCACGCATGGAACGTGCAAAGCGACTGCGCATCAAGACGCGGCGGGAGAGAGTGTAGTGCAAAATCATCGCAGTCACGCGATCACGGATACGTGTGTGCACAAAAAAAGCATACGGGGAGCGGACCCTGAGTTGACCAGGGGTTGTGCGCTGGGTCCTCCTGCTCGGCTCCAGCCAGTAAACAAGTCTTGTCATCAACAGAGTAGAAGGATCTGACCTCGGGGCCGATGTGACCAAGCGCTGGTAGCGTGGTTTAACCTCACACCCATGGTCTCACAGTGTGCCGGCAGTCGCCGAGCAGTGTCGCTCACACAAGCCGCAGCACAAGTGACTGAGGGCCAGTGAGGGCGAGCCCATCGCTGTGACAGCTGTGGCAGCCGCACAGTAGGCTGTGTCAACTGTGCAGAGTGTGTGAGCAGCAGAGGAGCTGCTCTCCAGGCTTCTGTCGCAAAGAGCTGCATGCCACCGAAAGCGCTGTCGAGGTTCGCCGAGCGCGGCGCAGGTTGAGGGAAGCCGCCACCGACGAGCGCGTTGGAGTTTTCACTCCGGACAAAGACGGGGACACAGCGGACGGTGCGGGGTGTGTCCCCGTCATAGCGGCGAGGCGCGGGACCGTCTGTGGCGAGGTGGGTCGCGTCCCTCGATTTCCTCAACTCAGGGTCCGCTCCCTTTAGGCGGATACTACATACATGCACAAGTGACCGTAATGGCCGTCGCGAACGGAACGACACGCGAGCCCGGACGCAAGCGTGCGCGTGTCGTCCCGCCACGCTGCGGCGAAAACTCGGCTGGCGCAGTAATCGCCGCAGTAATCGCCGCTCCACGACCGGGCGGCCTCGTCTCTTGACGGGGAAGAGCCGCCTGCCGGTCGAGAGTGGGCGATGAGGCGAGAGCGAGAGACGCGCGCACGCGGCGGCGCGCGCACGCGGCGCGCGGGTCCGCACAGGAGCGCGTGACAGCGACGGCGCCCTCGCTCCGGTACCTGCGAGGCACAGGTATCGTTGGTGCGTGCTGCCGTGCCGCTGCGGCGACGAGGGCCGCCGCTATCCGCTGCAGGCGCGCCGTGACGGTGCCGAGGCGGGCCAGGCAAGCGTGGCGCGGTGACGGGAGGGCGGGCGGTGGATCGGGGCGGCTCTGGTCGCGCGGCGGGGCGGCGGCTCGCACGGGCGACGGCGAGAGAGGCGCACCGGAGAGCGGTATCAAAGCTCGAAGATAACACTTGAACTGGCCGCTGTCGAGCTGGCCGGGCGTGCCTCGGACGCCCAACTATCGGATGGACCGGCCTCTACCCGCGCCCCGGCGACGTGCCACCTGCGAAAGCGGCGCAAAGGCGGTGTCGTCCGAAAGGCGCTTGCGCGGCTGTTGCGCAGGCCGCGGTGCGTCCTGACGCGGACTGTGCGTGCTCCGTGGCGGGTGCGTGGTACGAGGCGGGCACTCGAGCTTACCCGGGGCAATTTCCGTCACATGCGGGCGCGTGCGGGCGGCCGCAAGCTCACCGTCCACTCAAAAGCCTCCATCGCGCTCAACCCAGGTATTCCCAGACTGGCATGGCGCGCCGCTCGTCGGGAGCGTTCCCAGCAGGCTGTGCAGGGCAGTCTGCCTCACTCAGGGCGCCGCCGCCGCCGCGCGGGGCCGCCACCGGCGCTGCTGCCGTGAACACTGCCACCGTGTACGTCACCATCGCCTCTCTTCGTCGCCGATCTCGCCGACGCCGCTCGCCGCTCGCCGCCGCCCTGCCCTGCCCCGCCCAGCCCTCGCACAAACAAACCAACACACACACACACACACACACACACACACACACACACACACACACACACACACACACACACACACACACACACACACACACACACACACACACACACACACACACACACACACACACCGCCCCAACCTCGAGCGCCCCGCGCCCTCCCGCCCAACGCCCTGCGCCTCACGCCTCGCGTCCCACGCACGCCCCGCGCCGCGCCCCCACGCCCCTCACCTCGCGCCTCACGCCTCCCTCCCCACCCTCTCAGGCATTTCTCCTCCCTGCTGCTCGCCGACTCCTCCTCCCCCCGCATGACCGACGACTACCCGTCCTTCGGCGACTCCTCCCTCTTCGGCGCCAACGCCCACTACCCGTTCGGCCCGGTGAGGGGCGGGAGCGCAGCCATTCCAACGGCTGGAGAGTTTCTGAACGGCCGCGCATGCGCCTGCATGCCGGCTTACTACGAATGTCCCTCGCTCCGGCTCCTCTCTCGGAAGACGCGCGCCGGCCTGGGGGACTCGCTTGCGATCCCGCTCCAGCCAGAGGCCGCGTGAGGCGTGTGGGACGGTGTACGCTGGGGCTTGGCCCCAAGTGCACTGGCCTCGCGTCTCGAGGGGAGGGCGGCTCGTGGGACAGTCGTCCTCCCCTTCTCGGCCGGGCAACTAGGTCATTGAGCCCCCCCCCGGGGAAGAGACCGAACGGCCGGCCGACACTCTCGGCCATTCCAACGGCCAGGCCGCTCGCTTAAGGCTGATTGGCTAGACGAGCGGCCTACCTCCAACGGGGCAGTCTGGCAACGCGTGGATCCGGCCCGCCTCGGCGGGTCACGGTTTAGCGCGACGACCGGGGGAGCTCTGATCGCCGTACTCACCGGGACGCTGGTGAGGTGACGGTGGGAGGGCACCCCCCCAGACAGCCCCTCCCGACGGGGACGCCATCACCCTCGCCCAGCCAGGGATCTACAACGCTGTCTTAAGGTCCGACAGGTTCGGCACCGGGCACCGCCTCGGTATACAAAATGCGCCTGCGGGCGGACCCTCACAGATCACAGAGCACGGGGCCGAAGGCGATAAATCGAGATATAAAAGAATGTCGGGGTCGACGAATTCGAGGGGGGAACGAGGAGGGGGGAATGGGCGGTCGGCGTCGGGGTAGCAGCACCAGGGCGTACGGGGTAGCCGTCACTTTCCTGCCTCACAAGGGCGGGGCTGTCCCGGAAAGTGAGAAACGCCGGGCAGCGTGGCGCGCAACTGAACCCTCCCATACGCTGTCCCATCTCCTCATCTCTTTCCCGCCTGGGCGGGGCAGCGGGCGGGCGCGCGGTGCGGTGTGGCGTGTGCGTGTGTGCGACTGCGACGGAGGACCGCTCGCAAGGGACCATTGGGTTTGTATTATTAACAACGTAGGTAGGTAGGTAGAAAGGTGAAGAACAGCCAGGCTCGGACTGGACACCAACGCGGTATGGGTGGACGCCGGACAGATGATGACGGCACGCACGAGCGACACACAGACACAAACAAGCTCACAAGACACACAGCCAGCGGGCTGCCACACACCCTGAGTTGGCGTACACATAACTCAAGGCCACATCCTCCCTGTCGCCCCCCCAGCACTCCAAGGTGCCAAGAGAACACACAAGGGCACAACAAACAACAGACGACAGGAAGTAACGTGCTAGGCTAGAGCAGACCGCTCCGCCTCTAGCAATCTCGCCGGCCGGCGAGGCACGGACGAGACCGTGTGTGGGGTCTAAGTGAGGTGTCTATGGACGCTCTCCTCACGGGCTAGCTGCCTGCGGCTAGCCCTATCTCGCTATCACAGGCAATGACAATCCAATGTATGAGTGTATGCAAGCAGAGGCGCGTGTGCTGATTCTAGATCTCACACCGTGGCATATGACTTGGGAGGCGTGCGACCGCAGCGCACCCGTCGTAAGGTCGACGGGCGCGCGTGTCAGCGAGAGAGTTGCGGGCGGAGCCATACCCGACTTTTAGAGGAAGAGCCCCGCGCCACGGTTGCCAGCCGTGCCTTCGCGGGAGCCGCGTCTCGAGCCGCGTCTCGTCGCCACTGTCCCTGAGTGCGTCCCGCCTTGGCGGCACACACTCGACGAGGACATTCCGGCCGACGAGATCGTGTCGCGCGCCGGCGACGGTTGCGGCGTCGTGGTTTCGAGTACGAAGCTAAGATGGCACTACCACCGCCCTGCATCGCAGACCGGGCAAGGAGGGGCTCCCGTTCCGCGAGGAACAGGAGGTCTCCCCCCCTCCCCCGGCCTGAGCAGCGGCGGGTGGAAGAGGCAGCCCCGTGAGTCGAGGGCGGCGCGACCGTTGTTCCGCATCAAAGACCAGAGGCCCCGATCAGGACAGATGGTCGCGCCGCCCCGCTCCGCGCCACCCGCCGCCGCGCCGCGCCGCCGCCCGATGATTATTAAGTAATAATTAATTAACAAATTATTAATTACCCCACCCGCCTCCGCGCCGCCCCGCCCTGCGCCGCCCGCTGCCTCGTCGCGCCGCCGCCTCGCGCTGCCCGCCGCCGCGCCGCTCCGCCGCCCGAGGATTAATATTTAATAATTATTACCCGATTAATAACGTGTGTGTGTTTGTGTGTGTGTGTGTGTTTGTCTGATGGCAGGGAAGTCCAAGGCAGCGGCGAGCGGCAGGTGGCGTCGGCGACGTACTCAGGACACGATGGCGAAGCCCACAGCGCAGCGTGCGCGGCAGCAGCTCGCCGGCGGCCCGCGTACTCGACCCCTAAATAAACTCCAAGTCCACCACAGCCTCCAGCCACCGCCTCCACCCTCGAGCCTCCACCGCTGCCGCTCTCGACGCCGCCCGCCGCGTCAGATTCCCGCGACGCGCGCGGTGAGCCGAGTCGCAGAGCCTCGCCGCACCAGCAGCAGCATCAGCACCAGCAGCACCAGCACCAGCACCAGCAGCATCAGCACCAGAGAGAGGAGAGCGCCTGCCGCTCTTACGCAGCCCGCAATCCGCCTGCCGTGCGCGATCGACGCTCGCAGACCTCCGCGTAGAGCACCGCGCAGTCTCCTCGAGGACCAACTCAGTCCAATCCAGCAGTGCAGGATGATGTACAGCAGTGACAACGAAGGCGCTCTCAAAAAGAATTCGTGCAGCGTCCTTGTCGCGTAGACCAATCCTCGCTACGCAACGCGGCCAAAGGATATCCACCTCGAGAACCTCGAGATGTCGTCCAGC